CCGCCGCCCCCCCCCCGTGGCCCGCCAGCTCACGGTGCGCCGCAGCTCGCGGCCAGGCCGGGTGGGAGCCTGGTGAACTGAGCTAACGGTGTTTTCACGAGTGCTCCCGGCTGCTCTGCCCATGTCTTGGTTTCCCGAGCGTGCCCGCCCAGGGAGCTGCGGGCGGCTGCAGCCCCGTAGCGTGCTTGAAAAGCAACATGGCTGCACAGTGGCGAGCGGTCTTATTTTTATTTTTAACCCCTTACAGCTACTTTTTGCCGATTCCGGTTTTTCTTTCCATCAGATTAAAAAGGGCAGGCGTGTAATGCTGGAAAGACGGGGGGGGGGAGGGGAGCTGCACCTTTTCTATCCCTGTTTATAATCCAGTCACTGGCAGACATGAAGCCGTATCCTAAATGACACCAAAATACTCTTTGAGATAACCTGTGAACGTTCGCATTGAGTAACAGCCAATAATAAAACCACACAGACACGTTGTATGCAAGGTGTAATTACATGAGTGGATTTTTATGCTATCTGTGTCAGGGTGATCTAGTATAGTGTTTCACAACCAGCGGTATAAGTACCCTTAGGGGTACTTGAGAGGAGTCTAGGAGGTACATCAGCACAACTGAAGTTTGGAGAAAACTGAATTTTTGTTTTAAGGTTTACAGCACTTCATTATTTTTGTACTTTTTACACCCCAAGATTTCATTAACTGCCCAGCTATGATTAAGTTGTTTAAACTGTGTTGCAATGGTAGAAAAATGTGTTGCAATGGTAGAAAAAAAATGGTGTGTCTGAAAACTGTAGATATTGGGGGTACTTATTTTTTTAAAGGGTATTTTATAAAAAAGGTTGAGGAAACACCGATCTAGTAGAAGGGAAAGCTGTGCTGGGAAGTGCAGTGTTTTAGGTGTGCTCTGTTACCCCTGCTGTTTCTTGCCTGGTGTACGGTCTTGGGCAAATCAGTTTGCTTCCTTGTAACTGTGTTCCCCATATATGAAATGGGATAAGCTGTGCTTTCACTTCCTTTATAAAGCTCCCTAACATCTTGAGAGGAAACGTGCAAGGATAGGAGACAAGAGGAAACGTGCAAGGATAGGAGACAAGTATGATATTTGTTAATATATGTATCTTCTGATCTGAAGTACAGTGAGGTTGGAGGGAGAGAATAAAAATCTAAACGTTTTAAAATTTCTAACCAAATCAAGAGAGCACAGGATGAAAACAGAGACAGACTCCTGGAAATAAAAACAAAGCTTCAATATTTAGCTACAAATCTGAAAATAAAATCTGTTTCTAGGTTCCGTTTATTTTATATAGTTTTTCCTTGTACTAGATCTACTTAACATTTGTACAATTCTAATTTAAGTGAAATTGGTGATGGTGTAATTAAGTAGCCTTCTACCTACATCTATTAAGTCATGTGTCTGCTTGGATTAATTAAGCTTATACCACTATTTGCTCTGCTTAGACAGTGCCACAGTAGAAGAGGGAAGTGATTTTTTTTCTCCTCTCCGCTTATAAACAAAACTATTAACTAGTTGTTTACTGATGGATAAGCCCCAAAAAACAAACTTGATGTTCAAATACAAGATTGAATATCTGTGGCTTATAGTTAGAAAACTGTTTTTATTTGTAAATGGAATAGATTCATTCTTATTGATGACATCAAGTTCAAAACATGTTGTTTTCTCATAGCTCAAAGTCTGAGAACTTTGCTAGCAGCAGCCACTTATCTGTATACTGCATATATTATCTCATAAAAAATGTTGAGATCTACCATATAAGGATATACCAGTAGAAGTTTATGTGCTTTATTTATTTCAAACTAAGATTAAGTGTAATTGACTTCTGTTGGACCAATTTTGGTAATCATTCTGTCATTTCTGATATTGTAGGAAAACATTACAACTATTATAGGAAAACACTTGATTAATACAGCAAGTACCCTTTAAAGGAACTGAAGGAGACAAATTAAAAATAGTCTCATGGTAGAAAAGGCAAAAAAACCCAACCAGCTGTCAAAACATTATATTCTTATTTAAGCAGACAAGAAAAATAGACCACTTGATTAGTAATGGTAATATAGCAGTCTTGATCCCCTTGCTTGTTTGGCGGAAAGAGCTGTGAAAGCAATTTGAGAGGTTCTTGAATCATCACTTCTTTGATTTGTTTTTCCTTTGCTTCCTTGCCATTTTGTGTCTGACTGAAAGGGACAATATAATATCTATTGTGGACAAGTATAATGTGATTCCTTTCTGTCACACTTTGCTGATTTGCACTTAAGAAGACTGTGTTTCTCAGCTGACAAAGCAGTTCTGCTGGATGCTGAAAATTAAAACTGTCCTGCCCTGAGTTTTGTTCACTACTTGATACATTCTCCCTTGGATTTTCTGTTATCACATTATTTACTGAGTGCATGTCTAATTTTTTTGTTTGTCCTTGACTTGGAGAGCAACTTCTGTTTAGTGCCATTCATTGTACATAGGGAAACTAACCTGGAAAGTCAGTCTTTATTTTCAGTCTTTTTCAGATGTACCAGTCAGGACACTGAGAATTTTAAGTGGAAGTTGTATCAGAAGCTTGTTTCTGGGATTGGTGATAAAAAGCAACCACGGAAATAGGGATGTAAGCACCTAGTTGACTATCCGATAAGCAAAAGCTTATCAGATAGTCGCCACACTAGTCGACTAGTCGCTTTCCCCCCCACTTCGCTGTCTCGGTCAGAAAGAGGCAGCAAGTAGGGGGAAGGAGGTGGGAATGGTGGGGCAAACTGGTGTAACAGCCGGTTCTCCCGAGCTCTGTGGGAGGGGGCAGGGGCGCAGCAGCAGCATTCCACATTTGAATGTACAAGAGTCCCCAGTGGGGCTCTTGTACATTTCAAAGGCAGAACACGCGGACACCTCGGCCTTTGAAATGTAGGAACAGCCCCGCAGGCTCTTGCTACATTTCAGAGTGGAAGCTCCTTTATCAGCTAATCAAATAGTCAATGGAAAGTCCATCGACTGTTTGATGAGTTGATTAATCTAATTTTAACATTCCTATACAGTACATAGACAAGTGTTTCTTTTTGTCCCCATTGACAAAAAGTGTGTGGCTAAGAGGCAGCAACAGCAATGTCTCTGTTCTCCTCATCCCCAGCATAAAGCCTTATGGCCACAGAGCAGGATGGATTGATTTTAATTAAAGCAAATCAAATCACTGATTTTAACCATAATTTAAATTAGCAACTAGGAAACCTTAATTTAAATTATTTAAACTTTTATCTTGTTTTTCATTTCTGCTTTTCTAAATTATTCGCTTAAAGAGGGGGTGGGGAACCTCAGGCCCAGGGGCCAGATGTGGTCCTCAGCTTTCCTGGATCTGGCCCTCAAGGCTCAGCCGCCTCCCCACCCCAGCACTGGCACTCTAGCTCCCCTCCTGCTCAACACGTGGCTGGAGCACACTATTTCCACTAGGCTTGACTCCCCTAGGCCCTCGTGTAGGAGGGGAATGTGGAGAGTGTCTTTCTCCTTCTCAGTCGGGGGGAGGGGGCATGTCAGTGAGGGGTTGGCTTCTCCCTGATGTATGGCTATTGATTTTTTGGTGGGTTATTGACACCTGACCCAAAAAAGTTCCCCAACCCTGCCTTAAAGAGAGGTTCACTCTCCATTGTTAATCATTATAACTAATTGTAAGCTATAAATTAAATACTTGTTGCTAACCAAGGAGATACACTCTACCTATAGAGTTATATATCTTAACATATATCTGTTTAGATTCTTAGGTTAGAAATGGTGAATGATGCATTTCCTATTTATTAGATTCATTTTTATTCAAGTTCTTTTTGTATGAAAATTGGAATTCAATTAATATGCAAGCACTATTTTTATTAAATCTTAAATGTGCTAAATGTATATTTTCTTATTTAAACATGACTGGCATTTGCTATTGGTTTATTTAAAAGAAGTATTCATATTGAATTGAACTGAAGACCATGTCCTTCATGAGTTTAGAGCTAGTAGATTTTATCTTCTTATGCCCAGTTTTTATTCACCGAATGGGAAACAGAAAACAACCTTTCCTATTTTTTCAATTCCCAGTTAGCTTCATAACATTGAGTAAATTAGACCTTGAGCTATGCTATTGGACTAAGCTGAAATGAAGAAAATAGTCTTTTTGTGCCGAGTCAGCAGAGGCTACTTCTGTCAAAAGATGGTTTAGCTCTTCAGCAAACTCTGTGTGCTTAGCCAGTAGTTTTCCACCAGTTCAGTGCTTTGACTTTAAAACTTGGCAGCAGATATGTACTACTTAATCTTTTAAATTTATTTTAATAATTGTCATAGTTTCAAATTTAATGTTTTACATTTTTTTAAAAAATAAAACTACTTTAAAAAAGTGATTATTTTATTTTTTTTATCCATCCTGGAGCAGAGGCTTTATTACAAACCCATATTCACTTAAGAATCTTCTCCTTTTCTACCCAGTCTTTTAACAAGAAAGCATAGTTGTCTCTAAATCTAGAGCAGTGTGTGGTTTTTTACATGACGAGAAAAGAACATCACAAGTACTAAGTGAACTGAATGACAAAACTTAGGTCAGCCATTCCAGATACATAGATGTATGACTAGTGTTTAACACAACTATTTTAAAATATTTAATTTTGTCTACCAGAAAAAATGACCACATTGCTTTATGGGCACAT